TGGAAATTTCTGTTTGTTTTGACCCTATCTCTGTAGTAAGGGCAGCAATTTTCTGTAATAATCACTGTTACCATGGTTATATCCCCTCCAGGTTGTCAGACACCTGCAGCAGAAGGACACTGCCTCTGCACGAGCACAGCCGGGGGTGCTGCACGGGGGGGGCCGCTGCTCTGGCCCCCCAGTGCCCCCCTCCTCGTGCCACCCCAGCACTGGTGCAGCTGTGGATGCTGGCTGTGCTGGAGCCCCCGGGCAGAGCAGCACCCCTGTCCCTGCCTGCACCCCTCATCCCTCTCCGGCTGACCAAGGGGAAGATGAGGGGGGCTGGGGACCCCAAACTCAGTGTTTTAATGAGCCTCAACCAGGGGTGAGGGAGTTGGAGGCAATAGAGCAAAACTTTATCTTGTGTTTCTTGGAGCCAGCCCACGACCCCCAGGTTGCAGCCAGTGCTGGGGCAGAGCGCTGGGGAGGGAAACCCAAGCCCTCCTTTGCGCAGGGAGAACACAGCATCCCTCAGCTTTTTGGCCTGAGGAGGATGGCCTAAGTAGGAAATTCAGATCTATTCCAGAAAGGCTCTGGGGAGCTGATTTTCAGAGAGGAAAGAAATTAAAGAACTGCTTAGCTGAATAGCTGAGCTAGTATTTTTCTGTCCTCAGGAAACAACTTTCACAATAATAGCATTAGTAATAACAACAACCCAAAGAAAATCCTAATGAAATCATGTAGACTACAGGATGCGTGAAATCCCTGGGATGGTGTGAGCTGCCTGCGTGGGTCTTCCTCGTGTCAGCGATATCCTTGTTGGCTGGAGACAGATATATTACCGCAAATGGGAGCAGTGCACAGAGTAATCCATCTTGATCAAAGTAATGAAATAACTGCAAATTCTTTTAGTAAATGTAACTGTCCAGAAAATAATGAAACTCTGTGTGTCACAAACGACAGCTCCTTTGACAGGGTTGTGAGCTCTGAATTCAAAGACTTTATTTTTAAACTTCCTGTCAAGAGGAAAGGAAGGAGCAGACACCCCAGCGCTGGAAGGATGAGAGGAGCCCGGGCACCTCCAGCACCCAGGCTGGCTGGGGCCCGCGGGAAGCCAGCTCTGCAGGGACCCCATCATTCTGCAGAATCCACCTTTTAAAAAGAAATTTCAGTTTCTGTCCCTTCCTCTGAGCTGCAGCACACCTCCTCCAACACAGCACACGCAAAGACAAGAGTGCAGGGGGGTGCGAGTGCTGTGGAGGGTTTGGGGGGGGCTGGCGGTGGGAGGCGTGGGGAAAAGGGGCAGCTCTGTGCCACGGCGGGTACGGCAGGAGCCAGGCTGGGTGTTTGAAGAGGAGGGGCAGGTCTGGGGAAAGTGGGGACAAGCTGAACTCAGGCAAACACAGCGGTGGCCCCATGTGCTCATCCTCAAACCTCAGCACCCGCGTCTCCCCCAGGCCGAGGTGGCCGCGGACGAGGGGACCCCCAGGGACGCTGCCCGCCAGGCTGAGCAGCCCCGGTTGGACCGGCCCGCGCTGCAGGCGAGGGTCATCCCTGCGGATGGGCGAGCGCCCCAGGAAAGCCTCCCCCCAGCACCCTGTGGCTCCCCTCCCTGCAGACCCCCCACCGAACCCCCGCTCCCGGGGCGCTCCTGTCCCCAAAGCCACAAAACTGCCTTGTAGGTCCCCGAGCTCACTGACGGTGCAGAAATCAGAAGTAGCACAGAGCTGTGATTAAGCACACACTTAAATCCCTGATAGTAACTGGAGTATCCCACTTCCAGAGGAAGGAGACTATCTCCATTTCGGAAAGCAACGGCCGGCTGACCCCCGTGCCCGCACATCTGGCTGGACTGAGCAGCGCTCAGCCAAGGTGGATTTAGCTCCAGCCCACGCTGACATGAAGCCACAGGCCCGAGCTCTCCCTCTCTGCAACAAAGCTCCAAGCAGACATTTCTAGTGAGTTTGGTTTTGCTTATTCTACATTTTTGTTAGAAAGTGTGAAGGACTGTAAGCAAGCTGCCACCATTTTGTGTTCCTCTTAGCATGTCTGAGATCTTCTCAAGCTCCAGCATCCTCCCACTTCTGCAGCGAAGTCCTGGATAGAGTACTTTGTTGCCTCCCAATTCCTGTGTGATGAGTTAGACCTCAACCAGATGTTACGTGGGCAGAAATACCTATTTGAAATTAAAAGCCTGTGATTATTCTTGCCAACCAGCCATTAAGAAAGTATTAAATGGAGAAATTATCCCCCCCTTCTTGTTTCAATACAATAGCATCTTTATAATACACTTGTTTAACTTGCCTACTTTTAATTTTAGTTCCCTTGTTTCTAATACTACACGCAGAACCATGTCACTATCAGTATCTCCTGTGAGCTGGAAAAGAGGCAGGGAGGAAAAAAAAAAGCCAATATCCTTGAGAATTAGACAAAGGGGAAAAAATTAGCCAGATCTTGTTTTCTCTTTCCTACTGTTAACATAACTTCTCAATTTACCTTATCAGATTGCCTTCCAAAGAGAAGTATTTTTCAAGAGGAGCAGAGATGAAAGGGATTATTACTTACCGAGGCTCTTCTTTAAAGAGATAAAATATTTGGCAATTAAAGTACAAGAAGCTGCAGACTCAGAGGAAAGCGGTGACTTCACTGGAGCAGTCACATTAACATATTTTCCACTAACCCCTCATTAAGGGGAGCGATAACCTGGCTGTGAAGCTCTGCGGCTGAGGAGGGGCTCTGCTCCCTGCGCCCGGGGGCTGGGGCACAGGCCCACGGGCCACCTCGAGCTGCGGCCCACGGGCGACCAGGTCCACAGCCCCGGGCGTGGGACACGGGGCGGGGGCAGCCCTTGTCCCAGGGCCACCTCCCCCAGGCAGCTGGAACCGCTGGACGGGGCCGGGCGCTCGGGAAGGGGGTTTGTAACAACCCCCCGCGGGGGAGAGGGTCTGGCTGCCCCCCCGGCTGCAGGCAGCCTGCCCACGGCCACACGGGGAGTCTCTGCCACCCGTCCCCTTGAAGCCAAGGCTTCATTTGCCTGAAAATCTCTTAGTCCGGAGGGAGTGGCTGGGAGAGCAGAGACCTGGGCTGTGCAGAGCAACCCGGAGCAGCCACAAAAGCCACAAAACCCAATTTCACAAGGGGCAGAGGGACCCGAGGCAGCCGGTGGGGCCGAGGGGATGGCCAGGGGGTGCGGGGGCGGGGGGGGCAGGTGCAGCCCTGGGTGGGGCTGGGGGGGCAATCAACACCCATGAGGGCACTCAGGGCCCTGAGAGTCCCACCAGCTGTGGCACAGCCTTTGCTCTCTCCTAATGGGTTCGATCAATATTTAAACAAGAAAAAAAGAAATCAGTGCACCCTAGCAGGAGATGAACTCTTGTGTTTGCAAGCAGCAAATCCTGGGGGGTGCCTGAGGGTGCCAGAGGGATCGGGCAGGAGCCTGCAGCTGGCGGGAGAGCAGGAGCACATTTCCATCCCACGGTAAATACAAAAGCCTGTCCCTGGATCTGCTGCTTTGCTCTTTCGTGAGTAACTCTCTCTTCTGCGATTTATTGGGCAGGAGAACCGGCGCCGGTCAAGCCGGGTGGTGGCGGAGACTTGTCTCCGGCGGGATCGAGCGGGGCCGACCCTGTCCTGGGAGGCTGCTGGGGACAAGCCCTGAGCACGATGAGCGCCCACGGTCCCGCTACCCGCACCCACGTTTCGGTTTCCTTCCCGGGGCGGGAGCTGCCTGCGGGAACCAGGGTCTGACTGGGGGTTGCTCGGCCCCCCTGGGCACCCCCCGGCCGGCCGGGACCACGGCGAGGGCGCTGACGCTCTTCGACCAAGCTGCCTTCAGCCAGCTCGGAGTTGAACCGCTTCTAATGATCAAACGTGATTTTTGTCTAAGTGTTTGTCAGCAAATGAAGATAATGCTGTTCTGCTTTATGGAGGTTATTCCAAGGATTAATTAGTTGATGTTTCTTGAAGTACTTTGAAGATGTGGAGTGCTAGATAAGTGCTGAGCTTTATAAGCCGATCAGGCTCTGCAATTATTTTTCCGTTTTGCTTCTCATCCCCAAAGTGTTTGTACAAAACAAATCCCACGTGAGTGTGTGGTTACCGTAGGCGCTTGTCACGCTGGGGCTTTGTGGGGTGGCAGCAGATCCCCCCGCCCACCCTCATCCCAGCAATTTCCCCTGTTAGAAAATGTGTCCCAAAGGAGAGATGACGGATGCTCCTGGTCCCCCCGCTTCCCCGCCCCAATCCGTGGGACACGTCCCGCCGGCACAGGCGGCAGCATCTCGGGGTGCAGCGAGAGACCCCCCACCACTGCTTGCAGGGACGTGAGCCAGGGCTGACCCCGAGCTGGAGGGGGCTGCGCCTCTTGGGCAGCCCACGTAGGAAGAAATCTGTTTTCCTTCTGTTCCAGAAGCAGTTCTCCGGCAGCGGGAGAACAGAGGGTCTCAGCTCTCGTAGACGGAACGCCCACATGTTCTGGATGGGCTGAGCTTTGCCGAGCTCCCGGCCTGGGGCTCCCGTGGGGCACCCGAGCAGCAACAGCCAGCAGCCCAGCAGTGTGGGCTTCCTAACCCTCCTGCCACCGCAAGATGAAGCCTAATGAGCCAGATTTTCTAAAGAGATTAAAATACTTGATGAACACGTGACGCTCAGCCCAGGCAGGACTCTGGTGACTGCTGCCAGCGCCTGTCCCCCCGTCCCGCTCACACCAAGGCAAGCACCGGTGTCTCAGGGGAGAGAGTGTCAGATTCTGCAGGGCTTGTTTCAGGTTAGAAGGTGCTTTCTAGAGCAGAACCGTTACTGCCCCATCAACTTTAATTCAACCTAGAGAAATCATTGGCATAATTATTTACAACTGTGCAATTTCTGAAAATTATATTTCTGCTACCATAGTTATTGATCTTGAAGAGGGCTATAAATTAACTTGACAGTTCACAAAGTCCTTCATACTTGGACAATTTTTCTGCTTGACTTGCACCGTGTGTTGAACTTTCAGCACCATCCAATTACAGTCAAAGTGTGTATTTAAGCGTTTCTCTCATGCAACCAAAAGATATTTTAATTATAATACAGAAGAACTTGAAGCAAATACCAAGTCACCTCCACATCACGGGACAGCTTTCCTCGAGGTGGGTGCGGAGCGATGCCGAATGCCTGGCTTTATGGCGATATGGGGGGGGCCTGGCTGTGCCATGGCCCTGGGAGCCCCCCAGGTGCGTGGCAGCGGTGCTCCCCGTGGGGCCAGCACCTCCCCGGGGTGCCCGGCAGCTCCGTGGCCTCTCACCCTGGGGGGGCTCTGGGCCAGCAGTGGCAGGATGTGACCCTCGCCTGGCCAGCCCAGCTCATGGCTTCACGTGTTCAGCGCTTGTCCCCAGAATTCATGTCCGGTGGGAAAAAAGGGATGCTCGTAACTCATCCTCTGTGCTCTCAGGACACTGTGACAGGAACAAATCGCAGCACGCCCAGGTTTCGGGGCGGTCCGTGGCTTCTCTGGCCAGAACTGGGCCAAGTCTTGCACCCCCCAGGGGTGTGGTGCCAGTGGCAGTGTGGGGGGTGGTAGCCACTGGGCAACGTGGTGGGGACTGGAAGGACGTGGTGGCCATGGGGGGGCTGTGCCTGTGCCCAGCAGACCCCAGCCCCCGCCTCGGGGACGGGGGTCCTAAGCCCTGGCAGGGCCAGAGCTGCCTCCGGAGGGGCTCCCAGCGCCTGCCCAGTCCTGCCCCATCTCCCGTGGGGCACTGCCGCTGTGGGGCCCTGCGGGGACCCGGCGCTGGCGGAACAGGGACAGGAAGGGGCTCGGGGAACCCAGGGCCTTACGTAAAGAGTTTGTGGCAATCCTGTGGCTGCAGGGGGAAGATGACTGTGCTTCATCAGAAGTGAACTTGGAAAATCAGCAACATCTGGTGCCTGCTGGGCAGGGCACCTCCCCAGCATGCAAGGAAAATCTCCAGTTGTCCTCTCAGATTAAAGGATTTTGCTTTTTGCTCATGGTTTTGTACATGTAAAACAGGCTGGCCCTGGCCAGGCTCGGGGGTCCCCTTGCTGCAGCAGGAGCCTGCCCGAAGCCCCAGGCTAAATCCCTGCACAAAGCCCCAGCCCAAGGCCCCGACCCGGCCCCTCTGCCCAGACCCCTGATCCCAGGAGCTGTCTGTGCTGGCTGCTCTGGCCAGCCCCGCACGGACACCCCACCCTTGGGAAGTGTCTTTTGGGGTGACTCAGGGGCAACATGGAGCTCGCAGCTCTGGCAGCCTGGCCCCATCGCCCCGTGCTCCCCCCAAGCAGGTGGCTGCAGCTCGCTGCATAGTATTTATTCATTATATCACAGAGAGGAAAATCTCGTTAAATTAGTCCCGGTTTCTGCAGGGCGGTCCTGGGCAGGGGCGCCTGGTGCCGGTGGGTGAAGGGAGGCCGGGGCAGGGATCCAGCATTTCGTCGTTTCACAGTGATGGGAGATGGGGCAGAGGTGCCGTCCCGTGCCGGGGCTGGCTGTGCCCCGGGGGGTGGGATGGGCAGAGCCGCGCTGGCCGGGGCCGGGTGGCCGGACGTGCGGGGGTGCCCTGACGTGGCCCCTCAGACCTCCAGCTTCTTCTTCATCTCCATGCGATAGATGATCTGGTAGCCGTCGTCCCAGGCGTAGACCTGCCTCTCCCGGGGGTTGTACTTCATGCTGGAGTGGGACCCGTAGCGCTTGGGGAAGTAGACGAGGGAGGCGTCCTCGGGGGCCAGCGTGCCGCTGACGTCGAAGACGCACTGCACGCGGGAGCGGCTGGGCAGGCGGGTGTTGTAGACCACGTGCAGTGCCCCACACACCACGAAGGCACCCTCGGCGTTCTCTCGTGGGCACGGCGTGTCCCACATCTGCTCGATGTCCAGGGAGGAGGGGTCCAGCTTAGCCAAGCACAGGTTCTTCTCGTCCTCCTTGGTGGCGTAGATGGCCCAGAGCCCTTCCTCATCCGCCGCCACCTCGATGTAGGTGAAGGGGGAGAGCCCAAAGACAGGGATCTGCTCCTCGGCCGGGAACACTGAACTGTCCACCACCGTCTTGTTGGCCAGGTTGAACTTGATCACCTGGAAGGGGCCCTGCTGGCGGATGTAGTAGAGGTGTCCATCATAGACAAGGTGCCCGGTGCCCACCCAGGGGTAGGGCAGCTTGATGCGGGTGGCCTTGCGGGTGGCAGAGAAGAGGGTGAACTCCCGCATGCGGGGGAAGACGTACACCGTGTCGTTGGCAGTGCCATCAAAGACATAGATCTTCTCAGAGTTCCCTGCGGCATCCTTGGTCCAGAGCCCCGAGGTGCTGCCGAAGCGCTTCAGGATCTTCATGGCTCTGACACTCGCAATGGTGTCGCTGCAGTCTGCAAGAGTGGGGCAGCCGTGAAAGCCTGGAAGCCACCGGGTCCTGCAGCGAGGACAGCTCCCCCCCACGCCCGAGTCACCCACTGCGTCCCACCCCAGCCCTCAGGCAACTGCCTGGCAAACACGCTGAAGAGGTTGCAGTGAAGCTCCCTGGTGCACCTCTGCCATGGGCAGCAGAGGCCACCCTCACCCCAGCCCTGCCCCAGGGGCTTTGGAGAAGCCCGAGGCTCTGGCCTGGGGCTCGGGTGCAGCTCCCAGGCAGCTGCGGGGATGCAAGATTTTGTGCCAGAGACACCTGAGCGGTGCCCTGCTGGGACGTGATGCCATGGTGCATGGCTGGGGGACACTTGGGCCTGGGTGGGCGGGGAAGGTCTGGGGTAACCCCACGCCCGGGACTGTCTCCCCAGGGAGCCGCGGCAGCCCCTCACCTGTCAGCTTGGTGTATTTCTCATTCTTCCTCTGCTTGGCTGTGGCCACCTGCTTCTCCATCAGTGTCTCGTCCACCTCCACGCAGGGTGGTGCGGGGTTCTGCGTCTCCAGGTAGTCCACCTCACGCTCCAGCCGGTCCACGCGCACCGCTGCGCTCTCTGCCTCCGACCGCATCGCCTCCCGCTCCTTCTCTGCCGTCTCAAGCATCCCCAGCACCTGGTTCTTGAAGTCCCGCAGCTCTGTGGAGTAGCGGCTGCTCTGGTCGTGCCACTGTGAGATCCTCTCCTGGGACAGACAAGGGGACACCACGGTCTCCGCACTTCACAGCCCGTCCACGGCAGCTGTTCCACTGCCCGTGCTGTGGGAGCCCCTGGGGCCCCACGGCACTGCAACCCTGGTGCTCGTGCCCCTGGGTCCCATCCTGCCACGCTCCCGCACCCACGAAGCTCCCAGACCCGGGAAGGTCCCGCACCCACGAAGCTCCCAGACCCGGGAAGGTCCCGCACCCACGATGTTCCCAGACCCGGGACGCTCCCGCTCCCCCGATGCTCCTGCACCCCCAATGCCCCCACCCCCGCGATGCCCCTGCTCCCCCGATCCATCTGTCCCACAGGGCTCCCACGCCCGTCGCGCTCCCGCGCCTGCGATGCTCGTGCTGGGCCCCGGCAGGGGGGTCGGGGCCCCCCACGCCAGCTCTGCTCTGTCCCCATCCTGGCTCCTCGCCCCAGGCCTGCTCCCAGCCCCGCTGGCGAGGAAGGGCCTGGGAGCCCCGTGGTGGGGCGAAGTGGGGTGAAGACATGGGTCCCTACCTCCAGGAGGGTGAGGCGCCGCTCCACGTACTCCATGAACTGCTGCTGCTGGGCGCGGACGGCCACGGCGAGCAGCAGCAGGAGGAGCAGGCAGCGCCAGGGCCCCATGGCCGACAGAGAGTGCAGCCTCCACCTCAGAGCTCTGGAATGCTCCGGCCTCTCACAGCCCTTATTGAATCCAGATGTGAAGAGGGGAGGAGAGGCTGCTCCTTCCCCGAAGACCAGCCCCGGGCGCCTTAACTCCTTCGTGACCCAGCGAGTGCCCACGCCGGCCCCACGTTGTGCCAGCAAAGCTGTGGGGCCGGGGCAGGAGCCTGGGGACGTGCTGCTGCTGGTGCCTCTGGGGTGCGGGAGTGGGGAGCGCTGCAGCAGCCCTGTGCAGCAAGGGAAGGACACGTCCTCTGGTGCTGGGGACAGAGTCCCAGTGTGGGGACAGCCCGTGGGACAGTGTGGGGCTGAGCCGGACCCGGCGTGAAGCCGTGGGCACAGCCGCAGCCCCGGCTCCCAGGGCGCCCAGCTGCAGAGGTGCCCGAGGCCGGTGGCCAACCCGACCTCGCCTCGGCCACGTGCCAGCTCTGCTGGAGTCGATGCCGGGCCAGCGCCGTGGCCACCAGCCCCCCCCAAGCCTGTGGCACCGGCTGTCCCAGCTGCTGAGCCTGGAGATCCCACCTGCCCCCACCTCACGCTGGGGTCCTGCGGGGTCCCCCCCACAGCCGTTCTGCCCTGGCAGCTCGGCCGACCGCCAGCAGCCAGGGGCTGCCCAGCCCGACCTGCCCGCACGATGCCATCCGGGGCCGTTCGCCCAGCGACTGCTCCCGGGGGTTCCCGAGCGTGGAGCTCCACGGCAGCCCCCGCACCCCGCAGGGCCCGGGGGCAGCGCCGTGCCCAGGACACGGCCAGGCCCGTGGTGGCACCCACAACCCGCCCCGGCCTGCCGGTGCCGGGGCACGGGCTGGGGCACCAGCTGCGGCCCCCGGATTTCCTGGGCTCTGCCTGCGGATCTGCTGGGGGGTTGGATGTTGGCCCCATGCGTGTGCAGGGCTGCAGTGCTGCGCGGGGTGAGTCTGCCATCTAGTGCTCCTGCACCCCGCATCATCCCCCATCCCGCATCATCCCACAACATCCCGTATCATCCTGCATCGTCCTGCACCCCACATCATCCTGCATCATCCCACAACATCCCGTATCATCCTGCATCGTCCCGCACTCCGCATCATCCCGCATCATCCCGTATCATCCCGTATCATCCCGCATCATCCTGCATCATCCCACACCCCGCATCATCCCGTATCATCCTGCATCATCCCACACCCCGCATCATCCCACAACATCCCATATCATCCCTCATCATCCCGCACCCCGCATCATCCCGCATCCTCCAGTGTCCTGCACCATCCTGCATCCCACATAGTCCCGCATCATCCCGTGTCCTGCACCATCCTGCACAGCACAGGCCCCCAGGCGAAGCTGCTGCGCTGGCTGGGCCGGGCTCGGCCCCAGCCCCTCTCCCCCGAGGCTGCTGACGGGGACAACTGGGGCACCAGCAAAGCGCCGCTCGCCCGCGGGGCAGGGCCCCTCTCCGCCCGCCACACCAGCGCTCGGCCCCCCGGCGCTTTCGGGGCGGTGGGCTGAGCCCACCCCGGGCGCTGCTGGGGAGCTCAGCCCGCGCCAGCGCTGGGCCGGTTTCAGGCTGACACGGGGCTCTCGCGCCCCTTGTCCCGCTGCCGGGGGGGTGCAGGGTGCCCCCTGCAAGGCCGGGACACCCGAGAGGAGCCCCCCTTCGCCGGCAGCCTCCCCCGGTCCCGCCCAGAGATGGAGCCCAAACAAATGCCAAGCTTCCCTCTGCACCCCCTGCCCCGTCACCGCCCAGGCTCAGGTATGGGCCTTTCGGGAAGGCAAGTGACCCCTGAAATCTTCCCCGATGTCCAAGTGTCCAGTAAGGTCAGAAGGGAGAGATTATTTTCAGCACCGCCCAGCAGCGCCCAACCCGAGCGGGGTTCAGGCCAGCAGCAGCACCGTCACCCCCCGCGGCGCTCAGAGCTCCTGAGCTGGACGTGCAAAGTCATTTGCGAACACAAACCACGGTGGTGGGAAGAAGCAGCTTTCCACCGGGGATGGTCCTGACCCCAGCGGCAGCCGCAGAGCCCCAGGGCCCCGAGCCCCAGGGCCCCTGAGCCCCCGGGCCCCCAAGCCCCCGAGCCCCCAAGCCCCCGAGCCCCAGGGCCCCGAGCCCCCGGGCCCCCGAGCCCCCGGGCCCCCGAGCCCCCGAGCCCCCGGGCCCCCGAGCCCCCGGGCCCCCGAGCCCCCGGGCCCCCAAGCCCCCGAGCCCCCGGGCCCCCGGGCCCCCGAGCCCCCAAGCCCCCGGGCCCCCGGGCCCCCGAGCCCCCGGGCCCCCGAGCCCCCGGGCCCCCAGCCCCGGTCCTGCCGCCGCCGCCCCCAGGGAGCCGGCGCTGCACCCCGCTGCCGGCAGCAAGTGGCAGGATGCGCCAACAGCCCTTTTCCACCCCTTTAATAGATCAAGTGGCCACATGAATAGAGTACAGAAAATTAACCCTTTTTATTGATGCATTGCAATTGTTCTACATTTTTACCATATTATGTAGAAAATACTTAAAATACAAGCTACTTTGTAAAACCAAAGACAAACATTGAATCCAAAGATAAACTATGTTTTCACAATGGACCCTTTTCCCATATAGTTAGTATTAAATTTTTAAATATCTATTTCTTTTGTTAAAATGATTTTTACATACCCCCTAAGTACATCAGCAATACAAACATAGATCAGTAATTGTCAGAAACTACCTGTATCTAGCGGCTTGTAAAAAGGAAGAGCACAACCATAAAAGAAAGTTAAATTTTACACAGTAACTAGCATATCAAATACATTTAATAAAGTAGGAATTCCATTGCAATATCAAGGATTCAAGCAGAAATACTAACATTACATATAATGTACTGCTACATGTAGTGAGATATATATTTCAAGCTGAATCTGAAATCACACATTATATAAAGTTTAGCAACAAACAACCATGTGGACATGCGGCACCATTCAGAAGTTTAAATAAAAAAGAAAGAAAGCAGGGCTGTGCCAATCCTGTCATTTAGAAGCAATTTAGTTTCATGTACTAAAAGAAATTGCTGAGTCAGAGGTAAATTACCGCATCCCATCAACTAGGTGCTAAGCAGGAAAGCCTCAGAAGTTGCCTCTGCGGTGGCTATCACAGCTGCGACTACAGGTCAGGTAGGAGGAACACCTGATTTAACAGTTCAAGAATCACACAGACACGTCTAGATGGGACCACAGTTATCAAATATTCAAAAGGTGAATCCCAAACTAGCTTCAAAAAACCTAAAGGACTCAAATTTCTATTCAGAGATGGCACATTTCTTTACAACATATGTGTAGCGGCTCTGACGACGAGGGGAGTCAATTCTGTAACCTAACTGGAAGGCTGGATATGCAAGGGGAGAAGGGATGTATCTCCTTAGAGCAGACTACAATATGCTTCAGGTGGGCAACACATACTGGGATCCGCCACACTTGTGCAGCCAGCGCCGAGATGAACATCTGGCCCTGCTGGGGTGGGGGCTGTTTGCTTGGTTTATGCCGGGTATCACAGAGGAATTTCAGGGTAATCGACAACTTGTTTTAAATGGAGTATGTTTCATTTCACCGATGTCACTTCCACCTCATCCTCCTTGTTCCAATACTTTTGGAAGCTTGGGACAGTGGAAGAGATGACACCATGCTTTGTGAATGTATGTGACTGGGTTCTGGTAGGTAATAGGGACCCTGAAGATAAGTGGTCACTTAAATCTGCTTTTCGGGCGGCAGGTTCTCAATATTATTAGCAGATTTTGCTAGAGGTCTTTTTTTCCTGTTAGAACTTAATGGGAAACACTTTACTATTTGTGAAACAGGGAATAACGTTTTCCTGAAACACAGCAATTGGAGCTTGTTTTGCCTTTCGATGGAAAGGCACAACTCTGTACCCAAGAGGTATCTCAAGGGAAGTTCTCAACACAAGCAATGTAATATGGAAAAAAGTAAAAAAGTGCCTACAGCAACAAATAGCATCGTTTACACCAATGATGTGGCATAGCAAGATCAGTTGGATATCCGCACACTTACAGAAGTGCTCTGACTAAAAATACACTGAACAACGTCGCTAATGCTACCGTCCAGTTCCAAAGTCCTTGATCCCTCTATCAAAAGAGATGCCAAACCTTTAACAGTTCATTAATATCAGGTCAGTCCAGACTTTCTTCTGTCAATAATGTGGAATTTCAGAAATTACTTTTGCACTTCTTGTCACATACTGGTCAGAGAACTGGCCTCTTTTCCACTGGGACGGAACATAAACTGGGATTCAAGGTTACCAAAACCTCTTATTGCTGCAGTAGTATGACCACTCCAAGCCAGTTTATCATCCATTTGGACAAGATACTTTATCTACGTACTGAAGATGAGAAATAATTCCTAGTACAAGGGACCCAAGAAAACAACATGTAGTTTAAAAACTGCACTGATTATCCAAAATGAGTATTTCCTCTGAACACTAACTAGGGCTACAGCTGACAAACCTTCCCAAAAACTCCACATTAGCAGTAGCATTATAAAACTTTTAAATGATATTATGTGCTTTACAGCAGGCTCTCTTTGGTATAAATAATCTATCACCAAGCTAGCAATATTTTACAAGAAATGTCTGCTATTAACGTGGGGGGAAGGTAAGGTCATACTAATCTAATAAAAAGTGATTGCACATATTTAATCACTTCTGCAATATTAGACTAAACATTCCAATGCATTCCCAGCACTACCTTATTCGAAATGCACTGACAGACATCTAACAGTACATGTGCCATTTAAAGGAAAAGCTTTAAGGAAACATCGCTTCACTCCGAACAAAAATGTAGCTTTTTATGACAGCATTAAAACTGAGAACAACGCACCTATGCAACATACTGCTGTTCTTGCTGTGATAAGCTTAGTGAATTGCTTCAATTCGACGGGGGCTTGCTGGTCCCTCATAAGGCAAGCTCACTGTAAACTCTAGTCACACTACATCATCATTTAAGGCACTACAATAAGGGGACACACCAAACAACTCTTCATCACACATACCTGTGCAAAACAAATCAGAAGGTATCCTTTTCTCTCACGAAGCTCTACTCCTCTCTCAGTGCTACAGTGATGAGCTCTAACCATTGCATTATA